TTTATAAAGTGAACTAGATCAGTATAAATATAAATGTGTGTGTGTGTGACATTTCTATTTTTTGACACACTAAATTGATATTATGACCCACCATGGGGTCATGACCAGTAATTTGAAGGACACCTGCTTGGATGCCCTCTGTACCTGCAGCTCACTGGGGCCATATCTGTGACAGCCTTTTGTAGCTCGTCTCCCCAGTCAACACATTCCCATTCTCCCAGGCACACAGAGAATAAGGCGGGGGACCCCAGGAGGGACCTGGCACCCTCCAGACTGGTGAAAGGACTGGTAACAGCCCTGCACCCGACTTCTTTGGGGACAAGGAGCCTTCCTCCCACCTCCCAACCCAGATCCTCAGCTTTAGGGGGGGTGGTCTCCTCCTGGAGGTGAGAGACCCCACTGCCCCTGGTTACCCTCCCAGCTACAGCTCAGCTCCCACCACCCCAGCACCCTGTCCGGGTTCCATCCATCACAAGCCATTTGTTCCTCATCGTGGAGATCCTGCTAATGCCTTGGGAATGGGAATGGGGGAGGAGAGTGCGGCTTCATTAAGGAGACAGTTCTTAGGCTGTGGGGGCTGCCAGAAGAGGATTTGGTGAGAAGGCCTTCTGGGTGATACTGGGCAAGTGACCAGGAGCTGCCTGGTAAAAGAAAAATTAGTAACAATAGTTAATTCACCCAGGACCCACTGGGTGCCCCGTGCTGTGCTAAGCCTTCTGTGTGCACTGTCCCATGTATGCCTCACAGCAACTCTGAAGTCAGTGTGGCACTGACCCCGTTTCACAGAAGGAGAAACTGAGCTTCACAACTAATGTGACTCAGCCAAGGTCACTCTGTACGGTGGAGCCGGGACCAGGGTCCGGGCACTGCATGGATGGAGTGGCTTCCCCTTGAGGAAAACCGACCTTGAGCTCCCAGACCACAGAGCTAGGAATTTGATTTTCAGTCCAAGGCGTGAAAGGAAGAAGATGAAGTTTAAAGGGCCAAACAGCTTCTAGTTTTCCACTCTGCCCTCAGCCTCCCTCCCTCTTTCCCTCTCTTCAAGTGTGCCCCATGGCCTACCCCAGTGTGGGCTTCTGAATGCCTTTCCCACCAGGACTGTGTTCGGGCGCCTCTAGTTCCCAGGAGAGGGACACTGAGCCCACCTTGCGCCTGGGGATTCCTTCCTTGGTCTCCTCCCAGAGCTTCCCCTCCCCTCCACACCAGAGAGCTCGACAGTGCACAAGCCTGGGGGAGAGCAGATGCCAAGACCTCCCTGGACTCTGGGGTCACACAGGCGCCTCGGTGGGAGTGACATGGTGGCCTGGGCGGTCAGAAGTATATGGATTCTTACAACTTCTACTCTTGAGACCCAGGGCCTCCGTTTTCTTGTCTATAAAATGGAAACAGTGACACCAGCTCTGCCTGATTCAGTGCTGTGAGACTTCTGTTAAATGCTAGAAGAACTTTGAAAACTGCAAGGCACTGCGCTGCTGTTAGCTCTCGAACTTGGGCTCAGCCTGTGCTTGCCTTCTGTGTTCAGCCTGGACTAAAGTGAGTATTGCTGATAGGCATTGCTTGTATGCCCTGGGCTGGAGCTGGGGGCTCACAGCTGCATTTGAAAACATCCATGATTTTAAGGAGGCTCCAGTCTGGTTGGCACATCAAAGAAGGTGAGGTTGATGAGTTGGGGTCAGGGCCTGCTGTTTCTATCTCTGGGAGGTAGGCAGTCCAATGATTTTACCAGGCCTCAGAGTCAGCAGGGAGTGTAGACATGGCCCTGGTGCACTCCAGTGGTGGATGTGACTCAGATGGGGCTTCAGAAGGTCTCAGGCCTACATCATCCCCAGGGTGACCACTCTAGGGCATCTTAGGCCAGAGGGACCCCAGTTTCCCAAGCACACCCTTGGCTGGGGAGCTGGATGTCCGGATGGTGAGGCCTGTGGAAGTCGAACATAGAGCAGCACTTAAAGGGCACTGAGCAATGGGGAAGGGGCCATCCGAGGAGGGATGCTTAGGTCCCAAACCTGGGATCATCCCAACACTCCCACCACATAGCACATGCAGCATGGTCTTCAGATGGTACTAGATCCCACCTAGTACCACCCCGTCATGGCTGGGCTGTCGGCAAATTTATATTAAATGACCTCTCACAGTGTACCACAGGCTCCCTGTTTCCTCCAGGCCCAGGTCTGTACTGGTGGATGACTGAACTCTAATGAAGAATGAATGAATGAAGTGCTTGGATGAGGTCAGAGCCCAGACCTGGGGCCCTGGTCTTCCCCAGTCTCCTGCTGCTACCAGCACTGCTCAGCTGCTCTGCCTGCCTGGGGATTGTCCCAATACCCCCTCTTCCCCCCATTGCTCACCTCTGTGGGATGTGGCCTTGTAATGGGAGCACCTCCTTGTCTACTTGGTGAGCTGGCACTTCCATTGGCCCTGCCTCCTCTGGGAGGTCTCCCCAGCAGAGGAGGCCCTTCCCCGGGCCTGGTGTGGAACTCGGCACCCCTCAGGCTGCCCACCTTACTGGTCTGCAGAGACCTCATCACAGCACTGGAGGACTTGGGGACCAACCGCGTACCTTGTTTCTGTGTGTCTCCCATCTGACCTGGCCCCTGGGAACTTCATAAGTGAGATGTGAATGAAGGAGGGCGGAATGGGAGAAGGAACAGACAGCCATGGCCTGGCCTAGGTGTTTACCTGGCTCTTTTCATTGGGCCCAGGGGAGGGCAAGGTGGGAGGGGGTGGAACCTGTCGCAGGGAGGCCTGTCACAGGGAGGGAGGCCTCACAGGAATGAGATTTCAAGGCCCTATCATTTTTTTCTTGTAATTTCATGCTCCAGGGGGTCAGTGAGGAGTGAATGCAACTCTCCTGACCACTCCCCCCCCCAGGAAACCGAGTGGGGCTCTCCCCCACAATGTCCCCCATAAACCCTCCCCTACTGTCCCCCACCCTCACACAGGGATCTGGGGTGCTTCATCTTCCAGCCCTGACCAGTGCCCCCTGTGGATCAACTGGGCTGGCAGGTTCCCCTCCCACTGCCTTGCCCTCTGGCCTCTGACCCCTATGCCTCCTCCATGCTAACTCCACCTTTAGATGACAAAGGACATTTGTCATTAGACCTGGAGGAAGTCAGTAAAAGCCAGGGGCTCTTTCCTGATGACTACCTGGCCACCTCCTTGCCTCTCTGCACCCCACCAGGCAAAGGCGCCCACTTCCGGCGGGCGCCAAGAGCCTTTAGACCTGTCAGATTTCTGCTTTTCTGAAGTGAACCTTGAGGAGGAGCAGCCTCTTTGTGGAAGCCCAGGAGTTTCTCTGGGTGTGGGGTCCCAGGAGGGGCCAGGGGGCAGCCCAGGGTCTGGAGACTGCTGAGGAACACATATGTTCCCATGTAGATGCGAGGGTGCATTGAGGGACCATCCTCAGGCAAACTCAACCAGAGCCCCCTGGAGGCGGGCTGTGGATGTGGGGAGGGAAGGGCCAAGATGGGTGTGTCTGCTGCTGGGCACACAGCTGGGTTGGTGGGGTGTGAGAGTGGACCACACATCCACTGGAAAGACTTTGCTGTGAAGGCGACTTGGGGCGGGGGAGGGGTGTCGGTAAATGGCAGTGCACGTGAGGGGAAGCACTTGTGTGGACACAGATGTGAGAGTGAGCCGCGGGCAGGCGGGCAGGCATGGTTCCTTTAAGTGTGTGGCGCCAGGCTGTGCTGGGGAAGGCAGGTAGAGCGAAGCTAAGAGCAGCCAGGAGGGAAGGCTGGACACCTCCCGAATGCCAACAAGGTGCCAGGCGCTGCTCCCTTAATCCCCCTGACTCAGAGGTAGCTAGTGTCCCAGTTTTGCAGATAAGGAGATGGAAGTGCAGAGAGACAGAATGACCTGCCCAAGGTCACAGCTGGTAAGTGGTACCGTTGGGATTCCAGCCCAGGTCTGCCTCATGCCAAAGCCTGCAGGCCTCAGGGGCCTGGACACTGCGCTGGCTCCTGAGCAGGTCTTCGAGGAACCTGGAGGCAGACAGGCCTTATACTCCTGGAGGGTGATAAGGACAAGCCCCCACACACCCCCAGATGGAGGTGTAGAGGGCGTGGCTGACCTCACGGAGAATTTCCTGGGCCTCCTAACCCTCGCTCTCCTGCTAGAGTCCTCACTGCTCGGCTCTCAGGACCCTGACTCCCTGATGTCATGCTAACCTGCTTTAGCTGCTTCTCCCACAAACTCCATACACTTTCCACTCTGAAGACCCTCTGGCCCCTGCACCATGGCCCTCAAGCCCAGACCACTCGTGCATCTCTGCTGATCATTCAGATGTAGCCTTCAAGACTCCATCTCATTCTCCCAGTGCAAGGCTTCGTACCCACTCTCCCTGGATTCAGCAAGCCACACAGTGCCCAGACCCTGTGCCCTTGACCCCTAGGCTCTGTCTTCATCCCCTCACTTGTGTGTTCTCACTCCATAGTGACTGCTGCCTTAATACCCAAACTGATCCCTCCCCCTAATGTGTCAGATGGCCTTGGAACCAGGCTCCTGGGTTTACTCCTGTTTCTGATACCTCCAAGCTATGGTCTTGGTCATGTTATTTAACCTCCCAGAGACTCAGTTTCCCCATCTGCAAAATGGGCCTGACAATCCCCACTTCACAGCCTTATGAAGGAAGATTCAGATCCTGCCTATAATGTATTTGACACATGGCAGATGCCACTCAACCAAAAGTGCCTGTTGTTAATGCCCTGAGCCCACCCCCTGCACTTTTCCCTGGAGTCCTTTTTGACCACTGACCCTTCCATTTGCTGTCCCCATTGAGTCCTAACAGAATCTCACTGGTCCCAGGTCCCGTTTTTCTAATGCTATGATTCCTATAATGACTGTCCTCAACCCAAGTCTGGAAGTTGATGCCCCCCCCCACCTCTCACCCTGGGCCTTCTGCCTCCCCTCGGGCTCCTTCCCTTAACTCTCCCTGCGCTGACCCGCCCGCCTGCCCTGCTGTTGCTGGAGTGTGCAGCTGACTCAGCCCTGTCTTGCAGGCTCTTCAGGTGGCCCGGCAGTTCCTGCTGCAGCAGGCCTCTGGCCTGAGCTCCCCTGGGAACAATGACAGCAAACAGTCTGCCTCTGCTGTGCAGGTGAGGGGGGCACCAGCTGGCGCAGGGCTGGGGTGGGGGTGGGGCCAGGCTGAGGGTGGTCCTGGCACTGAGGGAGGTCAAGGACCCCATGGAGAACTGCTCTTGCCAGTCCCCCCAGTGCCAAAAAAATGGGCAACTTTCCAGAAGGAAATAGAGTCACCACAGGGGTGGAGCCAAGACACTTCCACTTTGTCCCCAGTGCCACCTGATCACCCAGGCCTTACTTTGTCTCTTTCCCTGGGCGCCTGCGCCTGTCTGCCATCCTCTCTGCCTCCGTACCTCTCTGGCTGGGTTCCCCTTTCCTGCTTCTTCCCCTCAGGGTCTCTCGGTCCTCAGGTTTCTCTGTCCCTGTGGGTCACTCTGTCTTCCCTCCCTGTCCCACACGTGGGTCTGGCTGCCTCCTGCGTCTCCCTTGCAGGGTCAGTGGGTCTCCCCTCCTCTCCTTTCCCCCTCATCTCTCACCCATGGACTCTCCACAGGTCTCCCCATGTTTCCTGTCTCTTGACGTCTCTTGTCTCTTTTGTTTTCCTTTGCACAATCTGCCCTTTTTTCCCCTCTCCCTCCCCCCCAGCTTGCCGGCCCATCTGGCTGGCTGGCTGGCTGGGGGAGGGGGGATCTGGGGGCCGTGGAGCCAGGCCTTCTGTTTACTTTTTGTGTCACAAAGAACTTCGGAGACTCGTCTGAGTCCTGGATGGGTCACCACTCGGGCAGCACTCCCTCCCCTCCCCCAGCAGCAGGGGCTGGGGACTGGGGAGAGGATTAAGCTGGGTTTTGAAAGGAAGTTTATCTAAGGGAGGAAGGGTGAGCATGATGCCCAGCCAAGCCAAGCGGATCCGGACCGCATGCTCTGGAGTCGGGGTGGGGGAGTTAGAGGGGTGGGGCGTGATGCTCTGTGAGGTACCCAGTACTGGCCTTGGTCCTGGGGGAGATTCCAGTGCTCCAGCAAAGTATCTGGGTTTATACAAAACAGTATGATTAGGAACTGCTTTGGAGAAGCTCAAAGTGCTGGACAGCTGAGCAGCTAAAGCAGTCCGCAGCCTCTTTGAATAATCTGGAACCTTGGAGACAGCCCTCACTGAAGAGGGGTTGGGCAAGTGGGGGGTGAGGACAGAGTCTGGAAGAGCAGCAAAGGGGAAGAGACTTCTCATACGGAGAAGGTCCTCACACCCAGGGGGTGTCAGGACTGGGGGACCCCCGTCTATACTTCCTGCGTCGGCAGTGATCTTCAGGCTGCTCTTCCGAATCCTCCCCACCCTTGAATCCTCCCCACCCTTAGGACCTCCTTCCTCCAGCAGGGAGAGGTGGGCTGTGGAGCAGGAGTGTTCCCCAAGCCAGCAGGGGGCCTGCAGACCTAAAGCAAGAGGGAATGGGCTTGGTGGTGAAGGGACTGGAGTCAGACATCAGGAAGAGCTTCCCATCTGGGTTTGGGGTAGATCTGAAATAACTGAGAGGGAGGGAGGCTATGGAATATTCCTTAGGAGACTCTTCCCCCTGTAAAGTGAGAGCAGCCTGGAGTTTTTGGGCTCAGATAGACATAAAATGGTCCTTTTCTGGGACTGTTTCTCTTGCCTCCTTACCTCCTATTAATCGATTCATTCCTTGATTCAACAGCTACTCAGTACTCCCAACAACTGTCATTTATAGAGTACTTTACATGAGGAAGATAACCAAGCAATTGACAAGTATTGTGTCATTTTTTTTCTCACCTCTTATGGGACAGGTGATGTTATTAGGACCACCTTGCTGATGAGGAAGCCGAGGCCCATAAACACTAAGTAACTTGGGCAAAATCACACCATTAAGAATGGGCAGAGGGGGCTGGGGTTGTGGCTTCGAGGTAGAGCGCTTGCCTAGCATGCATGAGTCATGGGGTTCGATCCTCAGCACCATGTAAAAATAAAATAAAAATATTGTGTCCATCCATAACTAAAAAATAAAAGTATTTAAAAAAAAAAAAAAAAAGGATTGGGCAGAGCCTGGGCTTGAGCTCAGAAAACTCACCCCGGGACTCATCCTTTCAATCCTCACACTGTGATGCCGCCTCATGCTTAGCCTGAGTCCAGAAGCCGGGGCCAGTGGTTTTCTAGGACCCAGGGAGGTGGCTGTCCTTGGCACTGTGTTTCCCCTTGAGCACCTTCTGCTGAGCTCTCTCTCTAACTCTGGGTACCTTCCTTGCCTCCATCCCCACCCTGAGTTCACAGTCTCCAAGGAGGTGGGGTCTCTGTCCCCCAGTAGGGTCCAGGGATTAGAAGTGGCTTTTCTGTGAGCTGCAGGCTGGTGGGGAGAGGGTGGAGTGAGGCTGTGCTCCTCCTGTGAGCGGAAAAGTCCATGTTGAAGATTTGACACTTGAGTGAAGTGGGTCATGAGGGAGGTTGATGGTGGCCCCTTTCCCAGGCTCCTCAGGCTGCTGTTCTGCCCCCCAGCGGGTTGCCTGCCCACTCCCCTCCCAGCCAGGTTCACCACTTACGCCTAGAGCCAAGTACAGAGGAGCCACCACATTAGGGCTCCGCTGCAACCTAGGGAAGATGCCTGGGATGGCCAGGTAAGGACCCCAGGCAGGGAGACGTGGACCACAGAGCAGTGCAGGAGCTGGGAGGCGGGGGTGGGGATGGCTGTGGCCAGGACCAGGTCCTTGGCTTTGTCTGCTCCCCGTCTGGCATTTCTGGAGGTTCTTCTGGTTTGGTTTGGTTTTTGTTTTCTTTTTGGTACCAAGGATTGAACCCAGGGGCACTTGACCACTGAGCTACATCCCCAGCCCTCTTTATTTTCTATTTTGAGACCGGGTCTTGGTAAGTTGGTAAGGCTGGCCTCAAACTTGGCATCCTTCAGTCTCAGCCTCCTGACTAACTGGGCTTACAAGCGTGTGCGTGGAAGTTCTCTTAATATCCCATGACTATCTTGTGCTGCTCCTGCACAGAATAAGGCTAAGGGCTGGTTATTTGGAAGGGAGCTAACCCACTCCGTGCCCCAACCTGCCCTCTGCATTGCTCCTCACTCACCTAGGGTCCCACACTGAAGATGTAGAGTTTGGATCTTTCACTCTAGCACCAAATTGCAGCCACCCCAACTGTCAGCCCCCAGAGAAGCTTCCTGTCAGGCACTGTCCCTGATCCTTCTGGTCAGGTGATCTTTATCTTGTGTTCATGGGCTGGGGCTTGAGGGGTGCTGAGGGGTGGGGCTGGATCAGCTGCCAGCATCAGGCCGCTCCCCCTACCAGGGCTTCAGTGAGCATTTAGCTGCCCTGGCCACTCTCCAGACGAGGACTTGCAGGCCATGCTGAACAAATGCCTATCCCGACCCAACCCAGCCTAGGAGGCCTGTGGGGATGCCAGGGGAGCTCCAGCTCGAATCTCAGAATCCCAAGGGGCAGGTGGGAGGTAGATGGGTTCTGCCATCCTACTGACACTTCTTGGATCCATTGGGCCACCTGGGACGAGTACACACAAGCCAGCCCATCCAGCTCTGCAGAGCGGCCCATGGCCTGTGCAGGCGGCCGCTCAGCCAATTGGCAGGAATGGCAGGGGCCAGGGAGGCCGTCCAGGGCATCTCTCCCATTCTCCCGCCTCCAAGTAGGAAAGCCCCAGGGAAAAAGGTCACATCCTTTCCTGCGTGCTACTGTCAGTGACTCACAGTCCTGGTACCCGGAAAGATCCTGTGGGTGTGTCTGGCCTCAGTCTCTCTTGCTGTGGAACATGTCCGTCTCCTCTAGCTTGCTTCTTTACGTGATGAGCTGTGGTCTTCCGTGACCCTTCCAATGCAGTGTCCTTCACTCCCCGCTTCTATATCCCTTCGGGAGCAGGACAGGTTGCTTTGCCTCTCTAGGCCAAGGACGATGGTGCCCTCCTCACAGGGCTGCTGTGGAGAGTCATGGAGATGAGACATGAAGAGTTTAGCCAAGTGCCTGGCACCTGCTCAGTCACCAGTGTCCTCTTGTGCAGCTGTGGGGCTGGGAGGGCAGGAACTCTAAATCCCAGTAAGCAAATAGGGAAACTGAGGCTGGGTGACTTCAAAGAACAGGAAATAGCAGGGACAAGAGCCTAGGTAACTGGACTCCGATATTCAGGGCTGGGAGCTCACCACTACATAATGCCTCTCTTTGCTGGATGTCCCTGTGGGAAGAGGAAAGAAAGGACAGCCTGTGATACCTACTCAGCATTGGACACTGCCAGCCTGGGCTTTGCGACCCAGTCTTTGATAGCAAAACCCAAGTTCTCTGAGCAGCCACCCACAGACGCAGCATCTGGTTCTGTAAGGGGGACCCCAACCCTAGGTCCCCTTGTGTGTGGGTCATGACACCCCAGCACCCTGGCTTTCCAGAGAGTTCTTCTGGAATGCAGCTACAAAAAGGGCAGCTCACCTTTGGGATCTCGGCCATAGTGACCCTTTCTGCCCAGGAGGGTCCAGGCCTGCTCTGGAAAACTGGAATCCACACAGACGTGGACTAGAATTCCTACCCTGCCACTTAAGTCCACCAGACCTCTCTGATCTCCTTGAAGGTAGAAGTGGGGTTTAAAAACAAACCAAAAAAGTCACACGGGCTCATGTGCATATGCCTGCTGCCTTAGTGGCCCCTGGGGGCCTCACACACATGGTACATCCACGTCTAAAAACAAGGTCAGGTTGTTACCTGTCCCAGGGGCTTTGGACAGGGGTGGACTGCGGTACAGGAGTGACGCCCAGGTAAGGGCCAAGCCGCTAGTTATGGGATACATAAGAGTTGGGGGCAGTGGCACCTCCCTGCTTGCCCCTGAGCCTGGGGATTCCTTGATCCATGGCTTAAGGGGTGGCTGGGTGCTGAGTTGTGGCCCTGTCAGGGATTGGGAAAGGAAGCAGCTCCTCCTTCCCCACCCCACAGGTGGGGCTGAGGCTGGGGAGGGGTGTCCCCTGGGGAACTCACCTGTCCCGCTCAGAACAAGTCCTTGCATGCTACTCCTCCCTGACTGGGCTGGCCCACACCTTTCCCTCCAGCCCCAGGCCTTCAGAGGGGCCTCTAGTCTGCTGGGAAAGGCATTTCAGCTCAGAGGAGCAAACACTTAGTGCCTACTGTGTGCCAGGCCCTCTGCCAGGGGTTGGGGGTGCTGTGCACACAGGGTTCAGAGGAGTAGGGGTGGCAGCCCCTCAGAAGACCTGCCCTGCTAAAATGGGGTCAGGCTGACACTGTGGCACAAGCCGGTAATCCCACCTACTTGGGAGGCTGAGGCAGAAGGATCACAAGTTCCAGACCAGCCTCAGCAATTCAGTGAGATCCATCTCAAAATCAAAAAATAAAAAGAGCTGGTAGTGAAGCACTCCTGGGCGCAGTCCCCAGTACCACAGAGGGAAAAAAGAAAAGAAATTATTTTTTAAAAATAAAAGGGCTAGAGGTTATTGCATAGTGATAAGAGAACCCTTGGATTCAATCCCTAGTACTTTCCCCCCCATCCCCCCACCCCCCCAAAAAAAATAAAGAAAGAAAGAAAAAGAAAAGAAACCAAAACAACCCTAAAACCTAGTGTGTTGGGACAGTGTAGTGGCTTGGACCTGTCTGGCCACAACTGCACAAGCCTGGGGGTTTCAGAGGCTGGGAATAGTAGTACCATTGCCTCTCCCTGAGCCTTCTCTCTGCAGAAGGGTCCTCTGAGCCCCCTGGGGCAGAAGGCAGAAAGCTGCTCTGCTTCGGGAGTCCGGGGTGCTCCAGGTAGGAGTCAGTTTTTGTAGTCCATCCCAGAGTTTTATGTTTGAGGAAACTGACATCTGAGTGGGCGAGTGACTTGCTTGAGACTGCACAGCAAGTTCAGCCCAGAGCTGGGAGTAGAAGCCTGCCACCCTAATTCTGTGCCTGCTGTTCTTTCCCTGGCATGCACACTTATAAGGACAGCACCAACAGAGCTCACTTTGCCTAAGGTCTGAGCCACTGTATGTGCTATCTAGAGAGTCGTGCTAGAGTGCGTGACATGTTTGTGAGCAGGCCGAAGTTCAGATGGGCCAGTTTTTTAATAGTTCCAATGGCTGCAGGCTGCCCACCAGCCAGGCTTGTCTTGGCTAGTGGTCTCAGAAAAGACTGCGCAAGAGCTGGGGATGTGGAGTGGTGCTCCTTCTCTCCTTGGGTGAAAGCCCCCCCAAAGCATGGCTTCCCCTGACCAATGTCACTGGGGTCTAGTCTTCCTGCACCAAGGACAGCACATCCTGCAGTAATAGGCAACCCGTCTGTAGTAACAGGCAACCCGTATAAACACTTGCAGTATGCCAGGCTCTGTCCTCGGATTAATTAATCTTCATGGTGACCTTATGAGGCAATCACTATTACTATTTCCATTTTAGACACAAGAAACACAGAGATCAGGACGGTTAGTCACTTGTCCTATTAGACACAGTCAGTAGGCAGCCAGGCCAAAATCCGAGCCCAGCTACTCTGCCACACTATGGGGGGACTCTGGGTGCTGCCTCTACCTAACAGGGTAAATCCCACAGGTGCCCGTGTCAGTGGCTATGATGTCGCCGCAGATGCTCACCCCCCAGCAGATGCAGCAGATCCTGTCACCCCCACAGCTGCAGGCCTTGCTCCAGCAGCAGCAGGCCCTCATGCTCCAGCAGGTGAGTCTGGCCCCAGGGCAGTGGCCCCTGCCTTCCCTGGCCTGGCCTTTGGCCTCGCACCTCCCTCCCTGTTTGCTACCAGCCTCATTGAGGGCCCAAGCCATGGCAGAAACCAGAGAGACTGCTCAGGCTGGCCTGGCCTGCACTCCTCCAGGGCAGTAGGGAGAGGCCAAAGGTCCAATCTCAGCAGCCCCTCACCCCACTCCACCCCATACTCCTTTCCTGTATTCTGGCCCCACTTCTATCTTTGGAACTCTAGGAAGGGACAAAGTACTGGAACATCCTGGGCTCCTGTCCCTATGGCCTGTTCAGGAGATCCAACAAGAGGTTGGGAGGGTTCACAACTGTGGGATACCCTCCCCTCCCTCTCTATTCCCTCCCTACCCAATTCCTGCTCCATTATCCTCAAGGCTGACTGGAGAGAACAGATCTCTCCCCACCAGGTTGTGTTTCCATGAGACCTCCGCCCCTGCCTCGCCTGCAGGAGCCCAGGCTGGGGTTGCCGGTAGCAGCCCCTGCTAGATCACCATCCCTTTGTTCCCCACCAGCTGCAGGAATATTACAAGAAGCAGCAAGAGCAGCTGCACCTTCAGCTCCTCACCCAGCAGCAGGCTGGGAAGCAGCAGCCCAAAGAGGTGAGAAGCTGCAGCAGGGCCCCTGCCCAAGGCACTGGATGCCCCCGTAGGAATCCCCATCCTGGCACCTACAACCTAGCTCTCCTCTGCCCAGAGTCTGACAGTCTAAAAGTGGTCAGGAGAGAATCCCTTTGCAGGAATAGAAAAATTTGGGAAAAAGTTGGGAAGAGTCAATGTAATAGGGGTCAAGGCAAGGGCAGTCCACTCGCAAGCCCCCACCCCGTCCCCCTTCACTCCCTCCTATGTCATGTGTTGTCTGGGCCACAGTGTAGGTTGCATCCTGTCACTGATGTGTCTTATTGTCCAGCTGTATCGTGGTCATGCCATCTTCCTGGCTACTTGTCTCTCGGTGCTTCTGTCCCTCAGCAATGCATCTCCCCCCACTCAGCCTATCCCAACTTCTGCCCTTTCTAATAATGCCTTGCCCGTCTGTGCCACAGTGCCTCCTGAGCTTCTGTGTCCAATCCCCCCTGTCCACGACCTGTGCCTCCCTCCTGCTGGCCAAACCACAGCCCAGGTTCACAGCAGCCTCTTCCCAGCAGGCTTCCCTGATGATGTCCAGGCAGTCTCCAAATCCTGTGGGCCCTTCTGGGTCTTGTAACACTGCCTGTCTGCCCTTAAACCTCTGGGCTGGACTGATCCTCTTGTCTCCTGACTGAATAGCCAGCCCCCCACCCTACCTCCCCCAGGGCAGGGAGGCAGGCAGAGAATCTAGCCTCCAAAACACCCAGGACACGCTTGGCTCTGAGGGCTCAGAAGGCTTGCTGACAGCCTGACTTGTCAGTGCCTGTGTGAAAACTAAAGCAGGGGGTGGGGGTGGGGGTGGGGGTGGGGTGGGAAGGGGGTGTGCTGCCTGTGCTGCCCGAGAGGCTCAGTATGCGCCTACCAGGGCCAGCTCCTGCCAATTGAGTCCCATTGGACTACTAGATTCTCTGTGTCTAAAAAGCAAGACAGGGCTGGATCTGCATGTGGGGAGACAATCCCTTCCCGCAGCCCCCCCGACCCCCGCCCCACACACATGTGGGAAGGGTGCCCTCCAGGCAGGAGTGGCCCCCACATCTGACCGGTTCATCTATCTTGGTGACGAGGGCCCCCGCCCCCAGGGGACTGAGCCAACAGCTGAGGAAGGAGGGGAAGGAGGGAGGATGTCTTGCTGCGTGTCTGGGTCTGGCTGTGTGTTTGCGCGCCTGCGTGCGTGCGTGCGTGCATGCGTGCGTGTGTTTACCGCGAGGAGGCATGCAGCCCTATGGAAGCTGGGCCGGGAGCAGAGAAGCTGCAGACGCCACCACGACAGCTCCAGGGGCTGACAGGCCCTGGGAGGGGGTGGCTGCAGGGTGGGGGCCAGACGGCACCCCTGAGGCCGCTGGCAACCCTCTCTGCCCGCCCCCTCGGGCACCCTCCCAGGCCCTGGGGAACAAGCAGCTGGCCTTCCAGCAGCAGCTCCTGCAGATGCAACAGTTGCAGCAGCAGCACCTGCTCAACCTGCAGAGGCAGGGACTGGTCAGCCTGCAGCCCAGCCAAGCCTCGGGGCCCCTCCAGACCCTCCCCCAAGGTGAGTGCCCCCCAGCCCCTCAGATTTCCCTGGATCCGGGGGCCACGCATGCGCCTGGGGCCCGGCCAGCCTCCCCTGTCTCTCCCACAGCAGCGGTGTGCCCGTCGGACCTGCCCCAGCTGTGGAAGGGTGAGAGTGCCCCAGGGCAGCCTGCTGAGGACAGTGTCAAGCAGGAGGGGCTGGACCTCACTGGCACGGCTGCCACCGCTACCTCGTTCGCTGCCCCCCCCAAGGTCTCCCCCCCACTCTCTCACCACCCTCTGCCCAATGGACAGCCCACTGTGCTCACATCTCGGAGAGACAGGTAGGGGGGCTGGGCCCTCAGGGCAGTATGTTGAGGGCTGGGGAGGGAGGGCTTGGGACTCCGGGACCCAGGAGTTCACCTCCATCCCAGGGCATAAGAGACGGTGTAAGACCCCTGGGAAACCTGTAGCTGGGACAGAAACGTCACCAGCAGGGGAGCTGGTGCTGAGCTGGGCCCAGGGCTGCTGGGGTCTTTAGAGTCTCCAACCACCACCTCCCTCCTGCCCTCCCAGCTCCTCCCATGAGGAAACCCCCGGCTCCCACCCCCTCTACGGACACGGAGAGTGCAAGTGGCCAGGCTGTGAGACCCTGTGTGAAGACCTGGGCCAGTTTATCAAGTAGGTGGTATACTCACAGGGCCCCTCGCCCTCTACCACAGAGCTCACCCCTTCTGGGGCCTCTGGTCACCAGCTGTCCTATGTCCTCACTCCAGGGGAGCCCAGGTTCTCTCCCCCTGCCGTCTACCCTTCGCCACCCCCACCCATCAGTATTCCCCGGCTTGCAGCCTCGACACCCCCTCCCTGGAGCACTCTGAGGGCATTTCCCTAGCCACCACCCTCCCCACAGCCTGGACAGTGATGACCTGAGACGGGCTGGGGACAGGCAGGGAGGGAGGTGGACAGGCGGCTGGCAGCAGGCCGCCAGCTGCCACAGCCGTGCCAGGCTCTGTCACTGACTGATTAACTCTGCATCAGGGTCAAACAAATTGTTTTCACGCTTCGTCAGAGGTTTACTTAATTAGTTCATTTGCAATTAGATCTCTCTGTAGAGGGGGTTTTAGCAAAGACATCAAAGAAGGCTGAGGAGAAGGCTGCTTCCGTTGCCCCCTTTTCCCACCCTTTCTTTGTATCTCTTGGTCTGTCTGCTCTTCGGGCCTTGGTGGGAGGGGTTGGAGGATGACTTAGGAGGTGGGTGACAGCAGGGCCAATTCTTTCTTCTCTGCCCCTCCTCCCCTTGAAGACACCTCAACACAGAGCATGCCCTGGATGACCGGAGCACGGCCCAGTGCCGGGTGCAGATGCAGGTGGTGCAGCAGCTGGAGATCCAGGTGTGGCCCGTGGGATGTGGGAGGGCCCCTGCTCGAAGCACCTTCCAGGAGAGGTCTCTAGTCTCATGGTCAAAGCCATAATCTTATGCTTTCTAGGTCCTAATTAACTATGGTGAGAATGAGGACAGCTGGATTCTGAGGGGTGAACTAGAGTTGTAGGCATCTCTGCTGGGAGGTGCAGAGAGACTCTCGCTACATAAAAATAAAAATGACACGAACAGCTAGCACATCAGGCACCTGCTTTGTGCTGTACTACATGCCTTATCTAAGTAGCTCAAGGAGTCCTCCCAGCAACCTGTGAGGCGGGTACCTTGATTCTCCCCATGCCACACAGCACGCAGACATAAAAGAACCAAAGTCACTTGCTGGTGATCACTCGGCTGCTGAGGGACAGGGCCGGGTCTAGAACCCAGGCAGTATGGCCCCTGCATTGAAGCTCTGGAACACAATCCTTAAGAGGTGACTCTGGACAGACCATCAATTAACCAATCCATATTTACCCATCTCCCTCTGACTCCTAACAGAGCGCCCTGCCTGAAGAGGATAGTCATGAAAGATCCATTGAATTTATGAATGGGGTGAATGAACCATTCATCCATCCCTGCATCTCCATTCAGTACGCAAAGGCCCTCACACATAGGTGCCACCACACTAGGCACTTGGGTGCTATTCAGCCACAGACTCTGAGTGCTGGTTTGAAGAAGGCACCCCCCCCATGTGTAGGGGTGGTGCTGAGCTCTGGCTTGGGACACACAGGGCAGACTCTGATGGCCATGGGCCAGAGGAGAAAGGGAAAGGCTTCACAGAGCTGGCAGCCTCTAGTCCTGGCCTCTGAGGTTGTGAAGGGTCCAGAGGAGCAGAGATTTGCTGAGGCTTCTGGGAGCGGGGTTCAGGGAGCCCGGAAGCTGGTGTGTGGAGGCCAGTTGGGGAGAATAATGGACTCTTTGAGGAGTCTGGCGGAAGGTGGGATGGGGAGGAGGAAAAGGAGCCCACTGCCTCCTGCTTACCTCCAGCTTCTCCACAGCTCGCCAAGGAGAGCGAACGGCTGCAGGCCATGATGGCCCACCTGCACATGCGGCCCTCCGAGCCCAAGCCTTTCAGCCAGCCAGTGAGTGACTCTCCTGTCCCTCCAGCCTCCCCAAGTCCCACCACAGGCCCATGGGCCCTCAGGACCCCTCGGGTGCTGGTTCTCAGCCCCTCCCCGTTGCTCACAGCTGAACCCGGTCCCCGGCTCCTCCTCATTCTCCAAGGTGACCGTCTCCGCAGACCCGTTCCCAGATGGTCTCGTGCACCCCCCCACCTCGGCAGCCGCCCCTGTCACACCCTTGAGGCCCCCTGGACTGGGCTCTGCCTCTCTGCACAGCGGGGGTCCAGCCCGCAGGAGAAGCAGTGACAAATTCTGCTCTCCCATCTCCTCAGGTGAGGGCAGGTGGGGCTGTGGGGCCACTGCTGGGTGGGACGGTGTCCCTGGAGGGTCCTCTCTGGCTATCTCATCCTCTGCCTGTCTCCCCCAGAGCTGGCCCAGAATCACGAGTTCTACAAGAACGCTGACGTCAGGCCCCCCTTCACCTACGCCTCCCTCATCCGCCAGGTGAGCATGGGAGCAGAGGTAAGGCTGGGGAGCTCCCTACAGCCCACCCCTGGACCCCAGCCTCTGGGGGTTCCTGGGCCAACCTCCCCTCACCTGTGTCTTCCCTTGCTGCGTGACCTCCTGCAGCTGCAGTGCAGCCATCCTGCAGCCTGCGTGGGTGGTTCTGTCTTGTGTGTGGCTTCTGTTCCCTCCCTGTGTCCGACCCCGTGGTGTCTTCAGTGTTCACACAGCCTTCACCCTCACACACAGCACATCTCTCAGGCACTCCCCTCAGGCACGCGCAGCCTCGCATATGTTCTCACATAGTCCTGTGCTCAGGGTGCCCTGTGCCCAAATCGGGGAATTCCAAACAGCCCCCACCCCATGGCCGTGGCTCCCATGCACAGTGCTTTCCAGGAAGCCACACGCCCTCAGAAGAAGCTCCTGTTTCCCCACACAAACGCTAGCCCCTAGAGTCTGGGCTCTGGTCAGCCTTGCTGGGCCATGCCCAGCCTGACCCGTGTGGGCTGCAGCAGGCCTCCTCCACTCAGAGGCGAGTTAGGGCCCAGGGAGAAGGGAGAAGGCACAGAGCTGTGTCCCTCCAAGGCCCAGACTGAGGGTTCCCTTGGCCCTTTCCTTGTCCACAGGCCATTCTGGAAACCCCCGACAGGCAGCTGACCCTGAACGAGATCTACAACTGGTTCACCAGGATGTTCGCCTATTTCCGAAGGAACACTGCCACCTGGAAGGTGAGGCATGCCCCTGCCACCTGCCCGCCCCTGGGCTCCAATCATCCTTGGACATCATCCCACAGAGCCCAAGGTTGCCTGGCAGTTAGTCCCCTCAACAATTAGTTCTGCTGAATTGGCCCAGCAGGGCACAGGCATCGCCATAGGCCCTCACCCCACCCCAGCAAGGGCTGTGAATTCCTCCATCACTGTGTTCTCTGGGCCCCTTCCTTCCAGCCCCGTGCTACCTCCCTTTGGGAAGAATCCTTCCCGTGATCTCCCATGGGCCCCAAAGACTCCAGCCCCGTGAGGTCGGGCCTCAGGGGTTGGTGATTCCCAAACTTGGTATTGAGAGGATCTGGATATCCTGGGATGACCACCTGTCCTGAAGGCAGCATCAATGGAGTAGGGGGGCCTGGACACAGTGTGGACCAGGGCCCATGGACCATATACTTGGGCACAGACAGGTGCTCACACGCCCCCGTCACTGCTGCCAGTGGCGGGAGATAATTGTCTATATCCAATTAGTCACTTCAATGCCTTCAGCTAGAGAGTTTTCCTGGGGGACCAGAGGAAGGCAAGAGGGGGACCCTAGAAAAATGGGACACAAAGATGAGGGTTAGGGCGCTAATGCATTTATTTATTTGCTAAAATAAGGTGTGTGTGCATGCATGTGTGCCTGTGTGTGTGTGTGTGCTCAGGCAGCACAGTGGGAAGGTGACAGCTAAACTAGAATGGCGGAGAGGGAAGGAGGAGGAAGTCTTGGCCCCTGTGGGAAGGTTGGAGGGGGTCCATATCTCAGAACCTTAATTGGATCCCTGGTTCTTGAGTCCCCCTGCTGGCCAGTGCAGAAACTACACTTCAACAGGCTACCTCCCCCAATGTCACCAGGTTTCAACAAGTGTTTTGGGAGACCTCCCTCCCTACCAGCAGCCCAGCTGGGTGGGGTCTGCACCAACAGGCTTCTCTGAGTGCAGCGTTTGTAGCCCCATGCCTAACTCCCAAAGCTTGGAAGAGAGGCTGTGAGGCAGGGCAGCTGTTCTGATTGGCTATGAGTGATATCATTTCCTGCCAACCACAGATCTGCCCTCTTTCCAGCATGGCCTTCTTGGGACTACCTGGTCCAGTCTCCAACCTCTGGGCCAGATCAGATACCAGGTTCTAAAAAGTGATAGAGTCCAATACCAATGAAAAGGATCGTTACAATTATTATCTAATGTTCACTTTAATATTACATACTAATCCTTTACCCTTAGGAGTAGCAACACAGAGCCTCATTTCCATAAGACGGCAACCCCCTGAGGATGGTGTACTAATCACCCCTCCCCTTATCTCTCTCACCTGCCCTACTTCACTGCAATTTTCTACTTCTGGCTTCTGTGGCCATTAAGAGGAACTGTCTTCCTCTTCACTACTCAGTGACCATCCTGAAGCCACCCATCCCTCATATTTCAAACTGAACACCTTGGACTGGTTATGCAGCCTGGTCCTCACCTCCATCTCCCACACCTAGCTGGGGTCCCAGTATGAGGCCAGCTGGGCCTGGGGAAAGTGAATGGCTGAGTGAGTGACCTTCCCAATTGGCAGTGCTTTGCTGTGCCGCCTTCACCACTGGGGGGCACTGCATGGCCTGTGCCTTCTGTACAGCAGAGCAGAATCCATGTCAGCTCAGGTCCACTTTGACCTTCGGGGTTTTTATCCTAAGCCAAGCTTCATTCATGTTACTTGGGAAATATGCCCTGTCTACCCTCAACTCTCTTTCTCTTCCATTTCTACTTCTACCTGTTTATCTGCCCCTTTAGGTCCTTCCTTTTCCTCCCCTAAATGATTTTGACTTCCTTCTTTCCCTCTTCCTTTGCCTCCCTGGCCCCCACCTTGAGATGCTATCTACTTCAGACTAGGGCAGAAGGGTTGGGAGCCGGTGTGGGCCAGGCCAGCTGCTGTTCCTACAGGGACAGAGCCACCATCTGCCAGGCTGATGGTCCTCGCTGGCCCTCCCCATGTCCATCCCCTCCCAGGGCCCATGTTGTGGGCCCATCCTTTTGTTTACGCAGCCCCCGCCAGACCCCTTAAATTGCCGTTAATGTTTCAGCGTAACGAATTAGTCTCTCATCACGAATCAGGCTTCGAAATGAGGGAAAAAAGCCCCGGTGAGGCCATCCTCGGAAATTGGGGTCATTCTCATTTGCAAAGCGGAGGATCGGAGCCCCGTAATGCGGGCAAATTTATTCCGAGGCAGGAGCCCCGGCGTGATTAGGCCCTTTGTAATTATCGCTCCAAGAGATTCCACTCCAGCCGCCCGCCTCCCTCGTGGATTAGCAAGCGAGTCGGAAAAATACACAGGATTTAATTAGAGGCAAATTAAAATTGGTAATGAAATCGGGCCAGTTGCAAGTGGCAAGAGTTGGAAGGGAGAGAGGGAGAGGGGGTCTCCAGGGGCTCGAGCTGCCCGCCCTGCCCGCTTTCTTCCCCGTTTAGAAATGTAAAGAGGAGACAGGAATGGGGTGAGGCGGGGGAGGTGGAGGAGGACAGGTAACAGGGACAGGGACGCAGAAAGGGATGGTGATGGCTAGGGACGACCAGTGGGGCACTGAAAGCTGAGCAGAGAGCACAGGGACAGGATTGAGGGACGTGGGTGCCAGGCAGTGGGTGAATGGGGCCCTAGCCCACACTGGGCGGGCGTTGGGCCTAGCACCCCATCCTTACCAAGTGTCCTACAAACCGGGTGACCTCAATTCCTGAAGCTATCCTGCCGGGAGGAGTTAGAGTGACAGGGCGACTTCCCCGCTCTCCGTTCCTTCCTGCCTTAGGCACACTCACACCCTCCTTCCTCCTGGCTTCTTTATTTCCACAAGCGTGGATCAGGCCTCTGCCATGTGCCTCATGCTCTCAACAAATAAGTCACAGTCCCCAGACTCCCAGGCTCCGTGAGGGCAGCAGTGAGGGTTCATGAGTTATTGCCCGAACTTGTAAAGGCTGCGTGTAGTTGTGCATGGGCCCGAGCGGATCACACTCATCAGAAACCGGGAGTAACGGCTCCCTGTCTCTGGTGGGTGATGATGGCAAGATGAATTATTGATACCTAGACATCATGTAGTTGACAGATGGGATTTTCCTAAGCGTGGCAGGGAGAGGAGGAAGGTACTGAAAGGCTGTGGTGAGCAAGCTGGGAGCCCACCCCTGCCCGGCCCTCCCCCTCCCTGTCCCTGACTTGGGACAGGTGACTATTGTGTTTGGGGTGTGGGACTGGACCAGGTGCCTGTGCTCACCTGAGCAGAGGAGAGCCCAGCGGCTGCCTCTGAGCCCCTCCTCACTGCACCCCCAGAATGCCGTGCGCCACAACCTCAGCCTGCACAAGTGCTTCGTCCGTGTGGAGAATGTCAAGGGCGCTGTGTGGACCGTGGACGAGCGGGAGTATCAGAAGCGGAGACCACCAAAGATGACAGGGTATGTGGGCCAGCCCCGGTGGGCCACACCTGGCCTGGGTATGAGCTAGGTCTCTGCAAGACTCTCCAGGGGACCTGTGCCCCAAATGCCTCCCAGCTCTGGGAGTCAGGAAGAGCGAAGGCATGTAGGAGCCCAGTGCTAGGACAGGGACAGCTGGAGTCAGAAGGTGGGCATTTACATGGTTTTCTATCCCCAGTTCTGACTGAGGGGAGTTAAGAGGACCCGTATCAGAGAGACAAAGCCCCACGGTAGTCATAGCCAGAGCTGGGTCATGGGCATCTCTCAGCCGGCGGGTCAAGGGTGAGGGGGCTGCTGTCCCCAGGACCTGCTCCCCTACTCCTCATAGGATGAGCCGATCTCTGAGACCCCTGGGCCTGCCTCTTTATTTGATGGGGAGGAAGGGGAAGAAGGCAGAGAGCGCAGAGGGCTGGCAGGAGGCGCACAGCACTGTGAATGGAACTCACTTGTCCCCTCATGGCACCTTTCTCCCGACCCCCAGCATCCCCACCTTGCCTGTGTGTCCTGGCCAGAGGCCTCGGGTCAGGAGAGTGAGACCTGAAGCAAGTTAGAAGGATCCCTCTGTAGTTCCCCTTCCCCTGGAGGATTCCTTCTCCCCAGGCAGCTGTGTGTCACCCAGGAGAAGCTGTCTCCCCCACACCAGTCTCCATGCTGGTTACTGTCATGTATCATTACAACTTGGAATCAGAAGAGCTGGGTTCAGGGCCTGGCACGGTGGTGCACACTTGTAATCCCAGCAGCTCGAGAGGCTAAGGCAGGATGTTTGTGAGTTCAAAGCCAGCCTCAGCAACTTAGTGAGGCCCTGTGCAACTCAGCAAGACCCTATCTCTAAGTAAAATACAAAAAAGGGCTGGGGATATGGCTCGTGGTTAAGCACACTCAGGGTTCAGCCCTCAGTACCAAAAGAAAGACCTGGGTTCAAATTGCACCTTTGTATCTCATCAGCTGTGTGACCTTGGGCCAGTTTTTTGACTTCTCTGAGAGGTTCTGTAAATGGGGTCATCATGGTGGTAACGAAGCAGCCTTGAACCATTGCTTTCTCCCAACACCTTCTGGTATTTAAATATATATATCCTTTTGTGTGGAGTCCCCAGGGACAAGCTGAGCAAATGGCTTATTGCATAGTCCCAGAGTTCAGGATGGCAAGAAAGTGGATTTTGCAGACATGGAACTGTGACACTCTGGAAGATACAGCTCAGGCTTTGACACACATGAGAAAATCCAAGCCAGAGAGAAAAAAAGGCTGAGGTGGCCTGATGTGAAGACAGACATTGGGAGGGCTTCTGCCTCCCACCTGACAGTTCTGAGACTCTGGCCAGGTCCCAGTGCCCCTGTGAGGTTTAAGCACCCTCCCCTAGGCAGGGCCATAACTGCCCCGGGGCCAGGTGAGTTTCGGAACTATGATTAGAACACAGGAGGCTGGGCAGACAGGCTGATCCCACTCTGGCCTCCCAGGGTAATGGAGGGACCGGCCCTTGGGATGGGTAGAGTACATGAGGATGAGGGGTGAGCCAGACTCTGCCTTCTCTCCCCCAGGAGCCCCACCCTGGTGAAGAACATGATCTCCGGCCTCAGCTACGGAGCACTTAATGCCAGCTACCAGGTGACTGGGCCATTCCAGCCCACCCAGCTCCCTTCTCCAGGACCCTGGGCTCAGCGTGGGAAGACCCCCTGCCCTCCCTGCAAAGGGCCCATGGGAGGAGGGGTGGATGGGAAAGATGAAGACCACTGCCCCACTCCCACCCAGGGCCCAGCTTCACCTCAGGTTTCAGGGCTGGTTTGGGACCATGTGGGGCAGAGAGCAGGAGGACTGGGATGACCAGTGATATCCCTTCCCCAGCCTGTCAGTCTGGGGGTCCCCTCTCCCCTGATTGTGAGGGTGAGCCAGGCCTGGTTCTCAGAAAGCTGGGAATTCGGCAGAGCTCTGAACTTGGGATGGCTCTTTGTTCCAAAGCCCTGGGGTCAGGCCCTGGGGTTGCCGAGGTAGACCCCCCCAGGGGCCACCCCCAGACTGCCCCACACGGGAGGCTCCCCGGGGTGGGGAGGACTGGTTCCCTGAGCCCGCTCACAGGCTCGATCCTGTGTGCTCCAGGCTGCCCTGGCCGAGAGCAGCTTCCCCCTCCTCAACAGCCCTGGAATGCTGAACCCCGGCTCTGCCAGCAGCCTCCTGCCCCTCAGCCATGATGACGTGGGCGCCCCCGTGGAGCCGCTGCCCAGCAATGGTAGCAGCAGCCCCCCTCGCCTCTCCCCACCCCAGTACAGGTGAGCACACAGTGCAGACCCCTGCCTCTTTTCTCTGCAGAGAACCATGGGGGACATCAGACCTCAGGGATAATGGGCGTGGGGAGGACGCTAGGGGCACCCCTGTGCCCCATGTTTGGATGAATGCGGAAGGCACACAGATGAGGGATGAGGGGAAGGCCCGGGTCCACCTCACCTCTTCTGCCCCTAGCCACCAAGTGCAGGTGAAGGAGGAGCCGGCTGAGGCGGAGGAAGACAGGCGGCCTGGGCCCCCACTGGGTCCCCCCAACCCCAGCACTGTGGGGCCTCCGGAAGACAGGGACCTGGAGGAGGAGCTGCCCGGAGAGGAGCTGTCCTAAGGCCTGGAGGGGCAGGCAGGGCAGCAGGAGATTGCTCCGCCCAGTACCCCGGCCCACCTACCCCCACTCCACGCCCCTCCAACCTGAAGGCACTTCCAGGACTCAGATGGGGAGGCCTGGGCCAGCACCTCCCACTGCGACCTGACTGACAAACGCTTGGGGGCAGGAACGGTCCCGCCCCCAAGGGGACACCGAACTGAACCCCTGGTCTGGGACCGGCAAAGGACACGGAGGGCCCAGACCCCTCTCAGACCCTCCCCTACATCTGACACCACCTCCCCCAACCACCACCAGCAGCAGGGCCCTCCTCCCCCACCAGCTCCCCCTACAGGGCCCTCGGCGCCATGGAGACCCGCAGGCGGGGCTAAGCCACCTCTCCGGCCCTGGCCCACACCTGGCTGATGCCAGGTTTCTGGCCAGAGGCCCCTCCCCACGTTGTGCTTCCTTCCACCTTCTTTTCCGTACTGTGAAGAAACAACTCTCCAGCTCCAGCTCCTAGCCCTGCCCTGGCCCTGGTGGGGGAACGAAGTTTCCCACCATCCCCAAGAAATCAGCCCTTGGGCTGTTGGGGGAGACCAGTGTGTACCCTGTGGGGGTCTGTGCCAGCGGGGCCACCCGGCTCCAGCCCTCCCCCAACCTGAGACCAGGTCCAGGCTGACGGGCCTCCTGCCACACTTTGGCTGGGTGCCCCTCCAGTGCCCCGCACCAGGTAGCACGGATGTGCCCACTCTTGCAGGTGGAGCCCAGACGGCCCTGAGGCCCGGGCTGGGGCCAGACAGTGCCCACTGCTGGGAAGCATGGGTCGCGCTGTGGGTGAGGCCGGCCCCAGCCTCCCCTCCACGCCTGGGGTCCCGCTGCAGTCTTCACCTACCCTCAGCACCCCTTCCCCACCCCCCCAGTTAAACGGATGACCAAAGACCTTTCTTATGCCGGAAGCAAAAACCAAAACTTTTTGTTGGCTTTTTCCTTTGTCGCCTCCCGACACCCCACTCTCCCAGCTCCCACCCTGGCCCCAGGCTGGAAGCCCTCCCTTCACTTAAGTTATTGTTTTAAACCAAAGTTTACAGTGTCTGTTGGTGGCAAGACCCTCTCCCTCCACCCCTGCCCCGAGGACCCTGGGACCCCGAGAGGGCCCTCTGGCCTCCCCTCTGCCCTTGCCCTACCTGGAGGAAGGAGAGAAGGCAGAGGGGAGTGGGTGGGCTCGAGTCCTGGTCCCCAAACCTGGGCTGCTTCCTGGGGGCTCTCCAGACCCCTCTCTAGGACCAAGTCCCCCGTCACGCTGGGAGTGTGGATTCCAGCAAAAAAGCTGGAAAAGTGAGACTCTCCACAGACCCCCTATGGGGGACCCCAACCTAAGGCCAAGGACAGGGTGTGTCGAGTGCTCAGAACACCCTGGCCAGGCCCCTTTGCTGAGAAAACTCCTTGGATGTTTCCCAAGAGACCCCAACATACCCCATCACAAGCCACCCCTCCTGAGAGGCAGGGGCCCTCCGCCCCTTCCCCCATGTGTCCCCACCTGTGTTCCGTGTGACCAGCACAGAAATATTAAACGTCCTCTATTCACTGGGCCCTGTGCGTGTCATCGAGGGGAGAGTGGGAAGGGGTGTCCAGCCGGAAGGCTGCCGTGGGAGGATGGCACAGTGGGGCCCCTGCCAAGGTGGCTTCTGCAGGTGCAGCACTGGGCATGCCGGGCACCAGGCCTTGTGCCCCACATTTGTGGACCAGGGTGTCTGGTTCCTCCACACCTAAGTCAGGCCTGCACCGCCCCGTTTTGTCCCTGAGTCCCAGCCCCCTTTCCCCAGTTCTTCCACAGGCTTGAAATCCAAGTTTCTGCTTCCCGTCTTCAGCCAGGGACTTGGTCTGTTCCTGGGGTGAGCGGAGTGGGGGTGGCTGCAGGGCTCTTTTCCCCTGGCCTCCACTCCTGCAGGTATCCCCTCCCCATGCCTTAGGTCCCTTCAGGGCTCACAGTCCACGTGTCTGTGGGGCCACCTGGATAGGCTCATGCACTGTGGGGTGGCATCCTGACACCTGTGACGGGGCTCCAGGGGGATGCACGCACACCCATACAGGACGCTGGTGACCACAGTACTGGTGTTTGGAAAAGGAGCTATTCAAACCCACCCAGAGGGACCCTGGACAGCCAGGAGAGGAAAAGGAGAGAGGAGGTAGTTCAAGCTGGCACACCAGGCGGGTGACACCTCTCTCAGCCCCATTGTCCCTGCCCAGGTCTCATTTCATGTCAAAGCCTAGTTCCTCCCACCTTCTCAGACACCAGTGCCCCTTCCCAAGCCGTCCCTCCTCAGGCTGGGTGGGTCCCTCCAGTCCCCAGGGCCCCAGAAGGAGGTGTATGGGGGAGGTTGTTGAGAAAGCAGTAGAACTGGGATCCATTACCCTTCCCCCAGATTTCTCCCAAACTCCTGGAACTTTCCAGAAGCTACATTTAAGGAGAAGGTGGGGCAGGAAAGGGGGTAGGACCAGAGGTGGGGTCTCCTGGCTTCTGTACTGCTCAGGGCTGCCTGTGTCCTCCACCATCGTCATTTCCTCCTGTCTGGCTCCCTGGGCTGCCTCCTCCCCACCCTAGTGAACTCCTGCTCCCTCATCTGTACCTTGAGAGGGGCTGGGTGGGGGGCGGGGGGTGCTCAGCTTGGAGTCTCGGAGTTTCCCTGCCCTCTGCCCGCAGTCTGTCCCGGGCAGTACTGCTGTGTATTGTAATCTGCCCTCCTGGTCCTCCCTGGAGACCACAGGGCCCTGCACAGTAGAATTTAGCTGTGTGTAGTCCGTGGACAAGGCATTCTCTAATGCAATAAAACAATTACCCTTGACTTTGCTGCAGCCACTTCCCCTCCCCCTCCCAGCTGAGACCCACTGGGCACCTCTGGCTCCAAAAGCCACAGAGGATCCAGGGGTGTTGACTGCCAAGCACCCAAATAACTCCCTTACCCTGCCCCTGGAAGCAGAGTCTGTTCTACAGGCTGGTCCCAGGGGACTTCTTCCTACTCCAGACTCCAGAAGAGGTGGCACCCAGCCTCACTGGCAGGACAGTTCCCCCAGCAGAGCTTCAGTTTCAACCACAGTCTTTTCCTTTTATCCTTTCAACAGAACTATAGTAAAAGTCTGGTCAGTTCACCCCTGTGGGAGGTGAGGCCAAGAACTATCTCAGGCACTGGCAGAGAAAACGGTCTTACAACATAAGAAACAGGCTGGCGCACACCTGTAATCCCGGTGACTTGGGAGGCTGAGGCCGGAGGATCCCAAGTTCAAGGCCAGCCTCAGCAAATCAGTGAGATCCTGTCTTTAAATTAAAAAAGAAAGAAAGAAAAAGCTGAAGTGTGGCTCAGTGGTAGAGCATTTGTCCAGGATAAGTCAGCCCTGGATTCAATTCCTAGTAAGTGGGTGGGGTGAGGGAGGAAGAAAGAAACAGGAAGCTAGACTCTAGCACACACCTGTAATCCCAGAAATTTGGGAGACTGAAACAGGAGGATCACAAGTTCAAAGCCAGCCTCAGCAACTTACTGAGATCTTGTTTGGAAATAAAAAAGAATAAAATAAAATAAAAAGGACTGGGGATGTAGCTCAGTGGTTAATCCCAAGTACAAAAAAGAAAAAATAAAGAAAAGGAAAGAAAGAAAGACAATAAATGAGAGAAACAGGAGATTGCCAGACCTGGTGTCCTATCCCTGTAAACTCAGCTAATCAGGAAACCAAGGCAGGAAGATTGCAAGCAAGTTCAAGGCCATCCTAGGTAAGTTAGTGAGACTCTGTCTCAAAATAAAAAATAAAAAGGGCTGGGGATGTAGCTCCATGGTAGAGTATCCTGGGTTCAATCCCTAGTTCCACAAAAACTATTCATTACATTTTAAAAATAAGAAAAAGGAAATGAGAGGCTGCCCTGGATCGTGGCCTTCAGGGTGCATGGAGCTTATAGACTCAATAACTAATTTTCCTACTGATCTGACAGACCCCCACATGTGGCAGCACTCCCCCCGTGCACACACACCCCATTTTTACCTTCTAAATAGGGATCAACTCCTCTGCCTGCCCCTCAATCACACTTTGTTCTCAGGAAGTCCTGCATGCTGTCTAGCTTCTCTCCTTACCAAATCTTGAGGGCAATTGTTAACTGTGGCTTGTGTCTTATCCTCTAAAGGGGGAGCTATATTTGGAATATGTTCTTAGGCTGGAGAGAGAGAGAGAGAGAGAGAGAGAGAGAGCTGGACATTTTAAGGGTAGGTCAATACCCCGCTGGGCTCTGCACAGATAGATCTCTCCCTTGCAGTCAAGGCTCTTCGCAGTCCACCCTTGCCAAAGGCCTTTTGCCAATGGCCAGCAGAGGGCGCTTTAGACAAAGCGGACCTGCTCCTCGGGACGAACTTGCGCTCAACATCCTGGGAGAACTCCCGCCCGTGCCTTGGCCTAAGGCTGAAAAGGGTTGGTTTTGCTGTTTGAATGTTCCAGACCCTTCCAATTGTGACCTGTGAAACATCTTAAATAGAAATGGGAGAATACAAGAGGGAGGAAGAGAGGGAGTGGACACGAAGAGATCTCTGGAAACTAGCACAATGAAGGATTCCAATATTTTTGATAGCAGCAATAAATATTAACACTTAATGAGCTCTTCTTATATGCCCAACACTCCTCCAGAAGGCTTGTATTTCATTTACTACAACAGCAACTCTGAGTTAGATACCATGATTATCCCCATTTTACAGATGAGGAAACTGAGACAGGAAGTCAAAGAGGGTAACAGGTAAAGCATTAAGAATGAGGAATCCGGTTTGCAGTGGGACAGGTAAGAGGGAAGCTCGGGGCTCTGTGGCTTAGTCCCAGCTTCCGAGTGACCCTCCACATCCACTGCTTCTAGAAATTCAGCCCTGGCTTCCGAGTTCCCTGGTCTCTGTTCTTCTCTAGGTAGCACGGGGTTCATTTGGGCTTGGAATAATCACCAAAGCACAGAATGAACCGGAGAAAGAGACCAAAACACCCTAGAAAATAATCACACAGGGCCCTTGGGATGGAACGGGGAGCCAGGCCAGCCAAGACAGAGAGGCCCTTGTCCAAGGTGGGAATTCACTAGGACCACCCCCCACACTCACGCCCACACGGGCACACTCCTGAGCACGCTGGTGACACACCCAGGCCACTACTCAGGTGAATTTATGCCAAGAGGCCCCTCCCATCTGTAGCCATCTTCAGGTGATGGATCTGTGGACAGCCTGGGGGTCCACGCGCCTCACAGAGATCACAGTGACACCCGTCACGCAGGCCCTGGGACCCCTCCACTGCCTGTAGTTTTCCATCTCCGACCAAAAGTTCAGAAAAACAGCCCCCACCAAGGAGGCGGCCAGGCCCACAGGCCCTCTGTCCTGCCAGGTGGACCATGGAGGGCTGGCCACCTTCAGAAGGCAGCCAAGGGAACCCGGGGTGGGGTGACAGTGCTGAGGAGGGATGGCACTCAGTACCCCAGGGGTGTCTGGCACAGCCATCGGGCTCCTTCTGGGACGTAGACTCCATGCCCCATTATATCAGAGAGCCGCCTCTGCTCAGGAAGGGGCTGGTGGCCACCAGAGGATACAGGACAGGCCTCTGGTCTCGAGCCAGTTCTCTGGACAGGAAACGGAGGGAGATCTGGAGTCCAGGGTCCATAAGAGAGTCAGTGCAGGCCCTGTGGGGGTTGGCCAGGCCCCTGCCAGGGTCCCAGCCCTGCCTCCGCCCCCACCAGCCAGCTCTGGGGGAGCCTTGGGGAAGCCTCTTGGAAAGCTTCTGTAATGGCCACTGATGGCATGTCGTCTTGAACGTCCATCACCATACAGGCCCGGAGATGGACGGAGTGCTCACCCGGAACCCGAGTGTCCAGCAGACTCTTAGAAAGAGCCCTGGAGCTAAGGAGGGAAAATTTAGGTAGGGAAAGGGGAGAGGCTGCAGAGGGGCTGAGGCTAGGGAAGTTAATGTGGCAGAGAGCAAGGGGCGGAATCCAAGCAGGAGAGGCAGAGGCAGGGAGGCCTATGGGTGCCCTAAACCTGGCCTCTCTCTGGCCTTACCAACACACACACTTGCATCCTTGCACTCGGGTCTTGGGCAAATGAATAGAGTCCATTTCCTTATCTAAAAAGCAGTGGTAAGAATCTCTCACTGCTAGCTGGGTAGGGTGGCGCCCACCTGTGTTCCTAGCAGCTCAGGAGGCTGAGGCAGGAGGATTGCAAATTGGAGGCTAGCCTCAGAAATTTAGCAAGGCCCTAAGCAACTTAGCGAGGCCCTGTCTCAAAATCAAAAATAAAAGGGGCTGGGGATGTGGCTCAGGGGTTAAAAATCCCTGGGTTCAAGTTCCACTACCAAAAAAAAGAAAAGAATCTCTGACTACTCAGAAGATTAAGGGGAGAATTAAGTGGAAGTGGGGGTACTGATGATGCTGTTAATAACTACAAGATCTGGCCTGGGTCATTGAGGAGTCTGCATCCAGAGGGGGCTATCCTGTCCTTTAGTACATAGGAGTGTGGCAGGGGGCACATCAGTGGCCCATCACCATGCTCTGTGGCCTTCTGAGGTATTCAGAGTGGGCTTCCTGGAGGAG